TCGTGAACGTTATTCGCTCGGAAATAATGCTTGCAATGTACGCGATCAATAACATTCGCGATCAACATTTACCGTATCTGAGAGACGGTAAATTGCAAAAACTCCCTTATATCCTCACTATACTCTCGCTCTTGTACGTATATCCGTCCGTCATCCGCTTGGAAATTTGGATATATTTATACGCGACATAACGATGCCGTGGGCTTTATCTCGGAATACGTATACAGAATCGGATAAATGTCCGATAAATGTGACTTTGCTTTCATTGTTAATCGTACGTAGTTCGAATTATTCAAGTAAACTTGTTATCGATGTTCATATATTCGTTACGTGTCGCTCAGACTGTCCAACTGTCGTGTGACTCACACGCGTTACTCACAATCGATGGAAACATTCGTTAGCGTAAATAAAGCGTACCTTTGCATCTCAAGCTATTCGACGGAAACTGTCTCCGTTCTGCACAATCGACTCGAACAAAATACGATACTAAGCAGCTTTACGATTCGCGAATGCGGGCCATTTTTTGATGATCGCACACCGTTTGAGAGAGAACGATTCAGTTGTGACTATCGATGTCGCGCCAGTCGATAAACCAACTTGCGCGATACACAAAATACCATCGCGTGCGATTGCTCGCGTTCGATAAAGCTCTCGACGTTGCATTGCATCTCGTCGATATTGGTTGCAGCTTACAATACCGACCGGGGTCCGGTCACGTCCGAAAATGACGGACATGCAAGATGGCCGATCTCAACAAGGAGTTGAATGAGTATCTCCTCAGCAACAAGAATGAGAAGCAATACAAAATCACCGTGCCCACGGTAGCGATATCGAGGGCGAACCTTGGGAGATGGTTCGGAAAGAGCGCCGACGAGCCGAAAGAGGACGTAGGATGGATCAAAGGGGCGCAGAAAGAGTGTTGCCCTTCCATGGTAGTGCATTGCTTCATAACCTGAAAGGACTGACGATTTAATTGCACTAATGTCGATTGATGTCGATTCTTATCAAATTCATATAAACATTCACACAAAGTGACTCGATCGCTCCAAGATTCATGTGTGCGCACTCAAACTCTCTGTCTCTCTTTACATTCGACAGAATTTTGCCAAGTATGTCTTTCGCAAGTCTTCCTTTCCGCTGCACTGCTGGACTGGTGCGTTAAGTTGAAGTGAGACAGCTATATATTTGTTTTACTCTAACTTCGTAATCGTATCAGTTCGGCAGCAGTACAGCGGAAAAGAACAGACCTCGTATGTAAGTTCTCGAGTTATCCTTACGGAGCGTATGTAAGTAACGACGAATGTCGTGTATTGAATTTAAATGGAACATATTTTCATGTTCTCATGCCCTAGCAGACGAGGACACAGAGGCTCGTATCTTTTGGCGTGTGTTTCCTTCTGGGGTTGTTATGCTTCTGTTTGTCAGCGATTTATATTCCTGTGTTGCTACTTAAAGCAAGAAAATTTGCTTTGCTTTACTCTTTAGGTAGCCTTTTCTTTCTAATGAGGTATGTATATGTGTATATCATTAAAAATGGCATATGCGTGAAAATATCTCTCGTTGTATATCTCCAACAGCAGCATCTTTCTCTTGTTGCAGCTTCTGTTTCTTGTGGGGACCAATGAGCTACACCAAGTCATTATTCACAGCTGAGAAGAGGTTCTTCACTGTTTCATATTTTACAACATTAGCGGGCACGCTTTATTTCGCTCTACATTTGCAGTCAACTCCCCTGACAGTATTTTGTGCTGTTTTGCAATTGATGGCAATGCTGTCCTTCCTAGTAAGTCACGTACCAGGAGGTACAACTGGCCTAATGTTTTTTACAAGAATGTTCAAATCGTCTGTACAATCAACTTTACCTGTATGACATCATCATTTTTAAGATATCAACGTTTCATAATAAAAATAATAATATCCTCTCCTCTATACAGCTATAATCTACAAAGATAACGTATAAAGAATTTTTCAAAAATATCACATAAGGTTTGTATAAAATGATTGATAAAGATAATTTATTGAATAAATCTACATATATGGTTGTCAGCATTAATACGCACAAGGCTGATGACCGAGAGAAAGAAGAAAAATGAGAAAGTTCAATTTAATATATATAGATTTCATCACTTACATTGTACACAACACAATATCGTATAGTATTGTATAAATGTTGCAATACTCATTAGCTCTTGGTGCTGGATGCTCTGATGTTGATTCTACATATTGAACTAACAATGTGAAATTGTACTGACTGGTCTGGTACATAATGTAATAATCTTTATACAAAAGAGAAAAAATAACCGACGTTTCACATTCCTATATTGGTTTTCATTTGACTGTATATAATATTTATATACGGCTCTGGTTCTTAATTTGTCTTTTATATTATTATATTCTATCGGCACACAGCATGTCATAAGACTACTTTTTTTTCTTTTTAACAGCTTTAGTCGCCTTTATCCTATTATTATTTCCTTGTACGCATTTTACCTTCAATGATAAGTAAGTCACACTATTTTTGCGCCTCCCAGAAATGGAATCTTCTGAAAAGGGGACGTGTTTCGGCAAATCTGTATTATCAGTCATTAATTTTGATCCAGCGAGAGGTAACTTGGCTTTATCTTCTCCTGTATTTTTGCATCGATCTTCCTCCTCGCAAATATTTGCGTGTTTTTTATTTTCCGATATATTTCTAAAACTTGTATCATTGGCATAATCGAGATCATTATTGTAAACGGTGAGTTCATTCGACATCGCTTGCGAGATTTGAACGTTTTTCCAACTCACGGTTGGAGGTACAAACGTTCTGTCCTTTCGTGAAGATCTATATCTATATACGTCTGTCGGTGCAATAACTGACCGCACTGGTTTCGAAATATTTGAATTTGTGTCGCAATTCGCATTTATTGTCTTAACCTCATGCATTGTACTTTCGCATGTCTCATCAGGTCTAAAAAGTTGCAACGAACATTTAGGAGGTTCAAAATCTTTAAAGACTTCTGCCACTAGTTTGTATAATGCATGGAATACATTGTCTGAAGACTGCATTACATCACGCTGTATAAGTACAAGTAAAATTATATCAATGTTTTAGAAATTTGCGAGCATGAGATAGTCCCATAAAATAAGGAAAATAATGTCGATACATTACCTTTAAAGCAAGAGCCGCCGTGGCAAATCCAATTGTTTGTAGCGTAATTGTTTTCAAAACAGGTAATAGAAGAACAGGAACTTTCTTGTTCTGTGCCATAACAACAATGTGTTTTATCAAGAGAGGTGGCTCCACATTGGCATCTAATAATATGCAACATACATTGTTTTTCTCTAAAGCCCGTGTAATTATATTAATACCCAAAATGACAAACTTTCTAAAATTCACATATAAGGGTTTAACTAAACTGAAGTTAATATACAAGTTAAATATCTAATTGAGCTTCAAGTTAGAAGAGTTGCTAGAATCGCAACTGCGATACCATCAAGGCACTTACAGTAAATTGTTATCAGGTTTAGTGCTTTCTTTCTCTAATGCTTCTCTCCTGGCTAATAGGCGTTGTTCCCTTGACATGTGTCTAAGCATTGATCCAGGAATTTTAAAACTTGGCTGTCTTATCAAGGGTAATAACCTGTAAGATATTTCAATATTTGTTACAATAGTTTTCCAGATTTCCTCTTTTACAACCACAGTCTACATGGTATACTCACTCATTCATAAGAGTTGTCAATGCTGGATATTGATCAATGTTTATAGTAGGCCTAGTGAATAAATCATACAATAAATACACATATATGTGTGTATATGTGAGAAAAAAATACATGTGTATATATATATATATATATGTATGCACACATATATATATATATATATATATATATAGAGCATAAAATATATAATCTCTGTTAATAAATTATTAATATTTAACAATGTTATAATTCTGAGAATTAATGTATAATTCATAATATTAATGTTAAGCAATATATTACCAGTAGTTCTCATGAGGTTGTGCCAAGAGATTCCGTAAACCTCTAACAGGTCCTTTTTTGGCTGACAAACTTTGTTTTTGTTGTTTCTTAGTTAATACCGGTGTAGCCATGTAGATAGCTGTATATTTTTCTTATGTTCGCCAGTATGTCAAAACATTAAAATCTAAGAGAAATATTTATACATGCCCCTTGAAGTAAAAATTGTAAAAATTTTTTGTAAAATTCAATCATTCATAAACAGGTCTTCTTGAAAAATCAAAGGTTAAGTTCAAGCCACATTTCACCCAACGTTTCAGCAGCACCCGACAAATGTGTTCTACAAGATTTTGTCTTTTTTTCTCTCCTTATAGAAGAAAAAATTCAGCCTCCTCTCTTGCAATCTGTGAAACTTCTATCCATGTAAACTTGTTAAAAACGACAACTATATATCAAATGTTTGAAAGTTAGAAAAATTTAAATTTTCTCAGGTTAAAACATGGAGGTAGTACACCAGACTGGTCTAAAGGGACAATCATATTTTGTTTCAATCACTTGAGAACTACGATGTGAGTGCAAATAAAACAAATTAAAATTATATTTTAAATATTACTATATTTTCTGTGTTATAATGGTTTTTACATTATGCATATATATTATATATATAATTTCATTAATTACCATATATTCGCCGGGACCCATCCATTTGAATGATGATCACATATGTACATGCGAACTTGACTTTGTACGACAAAGATAGTCACACAGGATCCGTCTGCTACGCTCCCGCACGTTCAATTCCTCTTTCCGTATAGTTTTATTTATTTCAGTAGGAACAGTAGGCTTTTAGTAACCCTCTTGCAGAGTTCCTACTCAAACCGCTGTGAGAAAAATTAGGAAATCACAACACAAATACATACTATTGCTACTGTATCGTCCGATATTCATCGTCAGCACTGAAAATCTATAGTATACACAGAGAGGAACCTTCTTCTTCTTCTTCAATAGATGGCTCTGTGCATACAACAGATGCTCCAACGCCACTCACACGCTAGAGAGGAACCTGAGAGCGGCCAACACGGCGTTTTCGGCGACATCGATTTTCCAATTTCCGCATTGGGAAAGGGTGCCATCTGCATCCATTTTGAGAGGGTAACTACGATGCTACATCCATTTTCAGGTCACGGCGGTAAAACCTGCATGTGGTGGCAGTCCGTGTTACATCCACTTTCAGGCGGTTATGTCCGTGCTACAACCATAAGGCCCCTTGCACAATGCCAGGCAACAAGCAATAAGAATAGAAGAAGCAATAAGAATAGAAGCAATAAGAATAGAAGAAGCAATAAGAAAAGAAGAAAAATAGACCAATCACAATTGAGTATTACAAGAATAATCTATTGTGATTGGTCTATTTTTATTCTTATTGCCTGTTACCTGGTATTGTGCAAGGGGCTTAATAGCGTACTACTTGACAAGCACGATCTCGCACATTGTTACACGTTTATAACATGAATTTATAACATGTTAACATGCGCAAAGAAAAAAAAGAATTGACATTGTGTATGATTAATATCATGAAGATCATACAAAGTGTCCGGCAATTAGCTGCCAATCCGAAGTGTGAAGGTAGATTGAGTTGAGGCAAACATAAAAGTCCCATACCGTTTTGCGAGATTCGCGATAATTATCGAGTTATTAATTGGTCTGTTCTTTTCAGTTGCACTGCGGAACTAGTGCAATAAGTTAGAATGAGACAACAATATTTTTTCTGACTTTAACTTACTGCATCAGTTCAGTAGTGCAGCTAAAACGAACAGACCAAGTGACAGAAATCTGAGGAGTGGGAGCGCGCCGACATAAACTACGTTTACACGGCAAGGTTATTCCGGATTAGTAACAACCGTAGTTAGTAAATTCTTTGATTCGATAGGTATATTCTTTTAGATCTAAAAATATACTCTAATCGGATTCGAGACTGCACTAACTACGATAGTTACTAAGTCGAAGTTAGAAGCCGTGTAAACGTATAGCCATAGATGATTGGAGAAACGTTGCAGATGCTCAAGGCAGCGATCCTGAATCTTTTCCCTAGCGTGAACTAATGAAAAGTGAAAGACTTCTGTGAATTGGTGAAAAATGAAAAATTTTATATGAATTTGTGAAAATCGAAACATTTCACACGACAATTGAGTCGTTTAACAGGGCAGTTGCGTTCTGAATAATTCTTAATGAATATCAAAGAAATCAAAATGATCAAAATAATAATGTCCGTGTAGTGCGAAAGATATTACGTGACACGCAAAACCCGTTTGATATGATATCCAAAGAAAATGTTTCAAAATATGTACAGGTACAGGTAATATAAACCTTATGCACCGACGAGATACTGGCCATTTTCCAGCAAGAAACGCTGTGTTACACAAAAATATTTTATTGGCTATGCACTATCTAAAGAGATGTTGCAGATAATATATAGCCAGTAAAACATTAGTGTGTGTGTGACACAATGTTCCTTAGTTGGAAAACGCCCACTATAAAGACTGTTGGATAAAAATACTGCGTTCTGATTGGTACATTTCCGAAAATGAATGGAAATCCACCAATCAGAACGCAGTATTTTCATCCAGCAAAGAATCTAGCGCGAAAACAAGCACCGTGTGCCGCTAACTTTAGAAATGAGGAACAAGGCAGCAGCAGTTTCAGTTGGAATTCTGCAAGGTTACCAAAGTGGTTGTTTAAAGCCAGCGGCACACGGTGCTTGTTTTCGCGCTGGATTGCTTGCTGGACGAAAATACTGCGTTCTGATTGGTGCATTTTCATTCATCTTCGGAAATGTACCAATCAGAACGCAGTATTTTCATCCAGCAAGCAATCCAGCACGAAAACAAGCATCGTGTGCCGCTGGCTTTATTGCATATTTATTGTTTGGTAAAAGTGGCCCCTAAAGCATTAAATTCTACTTCCATATTTAGAGAAACTGGAAAATGGCGTGTGGACATTGTTTCGGAACAGTCCGGAGCCAAAAATAGAATCAACCAACCAACCAACCATATTTAGAGAAATTGCAAGCATCGAAATATATAATATTAAATTCAGTGTCAAATTCAGTGAGTATACATAGTATATTCATGTATATATACATTTATACATACGTATATACACACCACACACACACACACACACACATACACGTACACACACATACAGACCACACATCACACACACACACACACACACACATATGACACACACATACATTTTGTAAATTTTCTCTGCATATTTATCTATATTCTAGCATGCATAGTTTTATGCTCTTCTCTTCGATGCTCTTTGCTTTCCATAAAATCTTGTTGTTTTACTTGCAGCAACAAATATATATCACGTGGAAGAACTGACAAAATACAATATGAATAAAAGCATAGATGCTTTGTCAGAAGAGATTGATGAGTTGCTGCTGCGTAAGTTAGAGTTAACAGAGGAGAAAATTCATGGAAACATTCAAATGGAAATATTACTGAAGGATGGTTACATCGAGTTGGCGAAAGCAAAATATATTCGTGGGAAAGAAAACATTGGTATTTTACAAGTTCCAAGTAATACAGATACCATGCTGTCATTGTTTGACTTAAAAACTAACGGAGCAACGGATGAAGATGACAATATTGTGCCGTGTTTTGATATTAGTTTAAAAAAATCAAATGACAAAGTGGATGGTCCAGGGGACCCTATAAAATGGTTTGGTGTATTAGTTCCACAGAATTTAAAAAATAGCCAGAAACGATTCCAGGAATCAGTTTATCTAGCTATTAAAATAGCAAATATACAAATGCAACTTATTTCAGTATTTTATAAACTTAAAACACTATATATACAGAAAAATAATTTACATTGTCAAAATAATATATCAATCTAGTGAGTCTCTTTGTGTTGTATGGGCTTTTACATTTTATTTATTGTATATTTAGAAATATTTATTAGAGTATGTTAAAGAATACATATTGCTGTGAGCTAAATTATATATAAATCCAGTTGTAGTTATATTGGGGAAACATTTTCTAAGAATGTAAAAATTAAGTTATTAAATAACATTAATTTATATCAATTGCTTTACCACTGTATTGATAATATGATGAAGTAAGAAGAATATTATTTGAAATAAACTCAATCATTTTTAATATAATTTGAATTATCAGTAGCATTATTATTCTATTCAAAAAATTACAAAGGAACCATTGTATTTACTTGTTTATTATCAATATTGAAAGTATTTTGCATGTGTTACAAGATATATTGAATGTTATGATATTTTTATCAAAATATTCAGGAGCGTTTCCTTCGACCACTTTGAAATAATATTTTTGTATAATACGTAGTTTTAAATAATTATTTAACATAGTAAGGCAAAGGATTTTTTTAAACGATCAATGATATATGGTATATAGTACATATACACGCACGCGCACGTATACACACAGATAAGAAAAGAAATGTTACATGCATCTGTTACTTTTACTGATGTACATCAATACATTATGTGTTATACGTTATCTATTACGCAAAAATACGTACATGTATACAGATATACAGGGTGTATAAAAAGTACCGGGATGGTGAAATATCACAAAAACTAAGCATTTCAGAAAAAAATTGTTTCAAACAAAAATTGTAGAGTTTCAAAGGATCTATTTACCGACACTACCTCGGGTTTAACCTCGGGTGACGTCGTCATGGTCAGGGCAAGGTTACCTTGAATTTTTAGCGCTTCTTTAAAATGAAATTTTCCGCACACAGTACATATCAGCGGATTATGTTCGCTGAGATTGAGCTTCCTCGTTTTCTCTCATGAACCCTCTGTAAAATTGCAATCTATTTTTTCTGTAAAAGCAAAATTTTTTTTTTCAAGCAGTACAAGTATAAAACTAACGGCGATAATAATTAATATTCATTCATGTTTAAATTTTGAAGAAATCTCTAAAAGAATACAATATATACACACATAACTAAGACAAGGTCAACTGTTAAAAGTTATTTTAACCAGACGATAATTTCAATTTGTATATATTTTTCTATATTATACCAAATACTCTACCAAATACGCACAGATAAACACAGTATAAAAACTCCAGTCTTTCAGTATGATTTCCTTCTTCTCAGAAATAGTTGTAGAAGCACATATTGAGAATCAAATACGTTCTTTGACTTATAAAAATGTAAAATATCTTTTTTTCTTTCCTTTTCTTATGTATTTCTATCATGTGTGGGTAATAAGGAACGTAGTTTATATAACGTTGGAGTCGTCCGCATTCAACGACAATTTACTTAAATCATTTTAAATACGATTGGTAACATTTCATACTGTGCGTTGTTAATTCCTTAATCTCTTCTGACATTCTTATAGAGAATGTATTGTATGTACATACCTAAATCATTTATCTTTAATTCCAACAGAGCTGAATAAGCAAGTGCCAGATTAAGATAAATTAATTTATACAAATCAATATTATGTTCCACGTTCAATATTTTTAAAACATTTTCTAAAATTTGTATTCGCTGCTTAAGTATTTTTATTCGACAGATTTTGTTAACCTCGTAATATGCGAAATATTGACACGCGCGAGAAACGTCTAGCATAATCGACACATGTGTCTCTCCGGACATTTCAGGAGTGAAATACTCTTCAGCCTCACGAAGATATCCCAATACAGTTGTGAAAACTCTACTCTAGGCATCGTTATAATGTGAAATATATTTATCCGTAAATACATCATTGCGTTCCTCTGCATGTTTTCCCATGTCGGCGAGTATTAATAAATCATCGGACCTCTCCGCGGGCATTGTTTCGCTGTTTCGTTGTTTAAATTACTCAGTTGACGAATATTGTCTTCTTCACTCTGCAATAATTTCCCTCGTGATAAGTACAAAAGTTGGATTCCATTCTTGCCTAGCGTATATAGCAACAGAAGCAGACATCTTTCGACAGTTTTTATACATCAATTCTTTCCGAATCGGATGCTTTTGCTCGTTCATTTTTGAATTATATATCCTCATAAAACTTTTTCAGAAATGAAGATGAAATCAGAAATGAAGCGACGACGGTCAGGATGATCTTTAGCCTCGATAAAACGTTTAAGTTCTACAAAATACAGGGACAATAGCGCTGATCCCTCAGCCCATTCGATAGATTCTACATCCGTCGTTAATGATACACTATTCAATCGCTTTTTCAATAATTTATGTTTGTATACCGCAATTTTGTGTACATACGTTCGCTTGCAAGCGATTGATCTACATGCCGATATACATGGCATGAAATACATGGCTCTTAAAGATAATAATATAAATAAGTCGTCCAGTAAGACTTTAGACGTAATTTCTTCCACGAGCCCAAAAACTGTTGCAACATCAACAGGAGTATAGGATATTCTTCCTCTTCTTTAGTATAAATCCAATGTAACTGCACCGCTTTGTCATAGGATGACAAGATTTTCTCCAACGTATTTCTTTCGAGGGAAATAATAGTCCTAAATAGTAACATGCTCTTATAACTGTAACAACTACGTTGCGGTTCGTTTCTTTTCCGCTCAATAGCTCTACACGTTTCATACTACATAAGTTTCACAAGTATCTTCATCATCATCCAGGTACACATTCACATAGAGAAAGATAAGTAAGCTTGTGCAAGAATTACAATTTCGTTGGTTTTTGAGCCTTGTGAGTCGATGAAATCGCGAAATAATCTGCCCATGCTCGATGCTCGAACGCTCTGCTTCTTTCCCTCAGTTTTTCACCGTAGCTTCTTGTCCGTGAGTCTTTCAACATATCAAATGATGATTTTAAAACCAATAGAAAATCCTCGTCAACGTCCATTGTCAGACGCTCTCTCGACGCTCTCGGTGTTGTTGATCCTCTTCGTTGCAGCGTACTTACGTTGTGGCGCACGCTAAACAAGTGAACGTTAGAGAAAATTATCTCACGGATACTGTGCGACATACAAATGATACGTCGAATGTACGTCACTCATTTCTCATTACTCGATTCGCCAAATTTGTATCTTTCCTCGCTCATGCTTCCGGCAGTGTGCATCTTTGAAAAGAAACGCGTCAATAATTGCCAATACCACTCAAGAGAACTCGTACAAACATGCGAGATTCAGCGCTACGTTCAGCAGGACTAGCATCCGACGAATGATCAGAGGCCGGTGGCGGGTGGGTCAGATTGGTGTATACTTTTATTTATATTACCGATCAGCGATAAACATCTCATCGTATCCTTACAAGATTCTTCGTTTACTCGACCTCACAGGAGCGATCCTTATATCCTTACCTGATTCTCTATAGATAAAATTAAGAACTACTTTCTCGACGAAAGTAAATCAAGAGGTAAATCGTACGGAAATACTAATTACTAATAACGGCAACTGCTTTGACGGTAATAACGAAATATTTATTGACATTTAACTCTCAAGCGAAAATACGCGAAGCGCGTTTACACAAAGAATATCTTATATAAATCTTATTAAGACAATACGATGACCAACTTATCGACAATTTATATTACAGTTTCACAAATATTTATAAATACATAGTATAAAAATTATTAAAGGTTTCTGTAATGCGAATTTCACCCTTTCTTAGGAGTAACTTTCATCACGAATGAACATGATGATAATTGAAGACTAGGTATTTTCTTGTTTCAGCATAAATGGCAGGTATTTTGTACGCGTGTTTGCGCCATGTGTAACACAAAGTATCATCGATGTTGCAATGTCAGCTAAATCGTATGGTATGGTTACACAACAAGTTGCTTTGTTATATAACAAAGTAACAGTCACGTAACATACCATATGATTTAGCTGACATTGCAACATCGATGATACACTATTATGTTTACCGGGAAAGAACATAATTTGTTGTCAAGGTCGCTCAGCCGTAGTAACATACAATCTGTAACTTATAATCTGCTGATATAATATCTGTTGATTTATGAAGAACCATGCATATATGATCGCCAATTACTTATGATATTATTTACCAATTTGTTTATTTCATCGAACATTTCTTTACACAAAGAATCATTACCATACCGATATCTTTCAGTGACTATATCCAATATATTGGAGTGAGTAATTGCTACTTCCATCCAAATCGGCTTTATGAGATCTATCGAGGAATGTGGTGTGCTCAATTTATCTAAAATATGTTGTAAACTCTGTAGTTGCAATTTATGCAATTTCTCTCGCTTAGTTCTATCTTGTTCATAGCCTGCAAGATATTTGTACGCGTTGGCATTGCCTCGCATCATCGTCACATACATTGACATACAAGGATCTTTACTGGTATAGATTATTAGGGGTTTAGTTAGTGTAATGTACTCTTGTGCTGTACGAATACGCGCCAAAACAGCCGTAAAAACTGCTTTGGCATCATCATAACTCGAAAGGTGCTTATCCGTGATCTCAGCAGTGAATCCTTCGAGATCTTGTATCGTGTCAGTGAATACTAACGACTGATCAGACTGCTTTTCGGACTCTTGCGCAGATAATAGTTCGGACTTGCATGTCGCGCGAGGTTCATTTTCTACAGCGTACAATAATCGTTCCCGCGATGACTGCAACAGCTTGAGGCCGTATCTCGCCCAAGTCCAATCAATAACACTCGTAGTTTCTCGATACATATCTGACAAAATCTTATCTGACAAAATCTCTTCGATCGAGTTTTCTCGTTCGTCCATTTTCACACATGTTTTCTGACGGTGCTTGTCCATTATAAAGGAGGCCGCAGCAAGATGTTTCTTAGCTTCGGGAAAACGTTCGTAACTTATGAAAATTTGGGCCAAAGATATCAAATGCGTAGTCCACCCAGTATCGTCTGTATCTGACAATGTCCTATTCAACAACCTCATCAGTAACTTGTGTTTACACACGGCTATTTTATCGATGATTATCCAGTTAGATACTCTATCTGTCTTTTCACTTTTACGCTCCGCTAATAAGTCTCGGAAAACTTTTGTACATAGCACCTCTAGCATAAATTCAGGATCTGACGAGTCAAGGGTGACAGAGGATACAATATCAATAGGAGCCAGATACTCATCTTTATCCGTGACATATGTCAGATATAGCTGTAGTACTTTCTCAAAAGCTACCAGAGACGCTTCACGCTTATGCAGCTTGCTGTAAAAACAACCTAAATAGCGATACGCATCCACAGCTAACAAAATAGCTTTACGATCTGTCTCCTTTCCTTTAAAAAGCTCCGTACATCTGCTAATGTGGAATCGAGCAGTATCTAATTTTGCAGTGTCATCTTCGCTGTCAGCATATATACGGTGCAGCAGTAAGTAGGCATGTGCGAGAAGTACAATATTATCGACGTTTAACTCTTCCGATGTGATTATGTCACGGTAAAATTTGTCCATCTTCGATTTGATCCCTTTGATCATTTTATTCTGTTTCTTGGAAAAGCAAGCCTCTTTTACGTCCGCCATAACCATGCGCAACGATTTATAAATTTCAACATATTCTTCACTAACGTTTATCGTCGAGCGCTCGTCCTCGGTATTCTCGGTATTCTCGGTACCCTCGGCAATATCAACCGGCGATACCGCTGCCGGAATGGATGCTAAACAAGTCAACGTTGAAATATCATTTTCTAGACAATACGTCTATATAGAGAAGAGAGAAGAGAAAACGCTCGTTTCAAATGTACATGTTATTCTTGTCTATTACCAGATTCGATAGATTCACATCCTCGCTCATTCGTGCTTTCGTTAGTGGTCATGTTTTGGAAAGAGAAGCGTTGATCGATCGATGACATCAACGAGGACTCCTCGTGCGAGCACGAGCGTCTTATTGATCACGTTCAAGAGAACTGGCGTCAAGTAATACCACTTTAGCCGTTAGTGAATATAGGATCAGTGTACACCTTCAGATCTTGTTTAGCTGTAAAGCAAGCGACATATGTAAACATACAAATATGTACTCGCATGTGTATCAAAGTATCTTGATCACTTATTCCGGCTGAAACAAGCATTCCTCTCGCCTCGCCTCGAGATCACTTATACAGAGACGGATATCTTTTTTTCTCTCAGATCAAATATCGATAGAAATTGAATATTGTTGAAGGATCAAACACAGAGAGGTGCAATAATAACTGGAATCAACGATAACCGATATATCTTGTTGTATAATAATAACGTCGTATATCGTAGTTTATGTTATCCGAGACGTTCACATGTGTCGGTAAGGTGTCTATTTGGAAGCATATAAATTACTCCTTAATATTATGATGCTCTTTAACACTTCGGACAGTATAGTTAGCATTTCACTGTTTGATTTATCGGCTGGTTCATCAGTCGACTGTCCCGATTCCTTCGATGGATCAAATTGCAATCGTGAAGATTCGTACATTACATCGAACACATCATTAGTACAAATGACTGTTTCAATAACCACCGGCCAGATGTTAAAATCACCATTAGGATGTATTTTCTTTAAAGTAGTTAATAAAATCTGTAAACGTTGTTTATACGATTCCAATTTATTAGTTCCGCTTACATAGCACGCGAAGAGCTTATGCACTCGCGAAATATTTAATATAATCGACAAATACGTCATTGGAGATTTCTCAAAAGTATAGTATGCTTTTTCCTCATCAAGATACTTCATAACAGTCTCAAAAAGTATACTAGCGTCAGTATAACTCAATAAGTAGCTATCTGTGATCGTGGCAGTGAATTCTTTCAGATTTTCCCTTACGTTATCAAATATTAACAATTTATTAGATTCCTCCTTGGATTTTGCTGGAAATAACGATGTTGAATTACACACCTCGCAAAGTTCTTTCGCTGTACCATGCAAAATTCTTTCTTGTGACGAACGTAAAAGTTGTATTCCATATTTTGTCCAATATTTAGCAATATCAGCAGATGCTTGTTGATACTGCTGATCTATCGATCTCTTCTCAGTAGGATTCTTTCGTCCGTCCGTTGTTACGTACTGATTCTCATAAAATTTCTTCATCATGAATGACGCAGCAGCAAGATGATCTCTAGCCTCAGTAAAACGATTGTGCGTTATGAAGTATTCGGATAAAGACTCTACCATCAGAGTCCATGTTGCACAATCTGCAGTTGGCGATAGACTATCAAATCTTTTACTCAATAACTTATGCTGACACCTTGCAATTTTATCAGTGTACACCCGATTCGTTGCTACATGCGTACCTAAACTTGCATGCCCCTTCAACAAAGCATCCATAACTAATGCACCTCTTTTTTCCAGTAAATCTATCGGGTCTAAACGTTTGAGGCCAAAATGCGGCGCGATGTAGAAAGGTGCAGGATACGTTTCTCCTTCGTCAGTGTAGGCCAAGTAGAATTGGAACGCTTCATTGAAAGCTGATAGCGATAATTCCTCATTGTTTTGCTTATGATACAAAATGCCCAAGGACGAATACGCGCTTAGTGCTGTTAAAATAAATTTCTGATCGGGCTCTCTTCCTTTCAGCAACTCTATACACTTCGTAATAGCATCTTCGGCAAACGTTGTTTCCTTATTATCCGTTTCAGCAATACGTATATCAAACAGATACAGATAAGCTTGCGCAAGAGTCGCAATCTCATCTGTTTTTGCATCTTTCGTGATTCTTTCGATTATGCCATTGTACAATATGTTCATCCTCGATAAAATGTCTTTGATCACTTTACCGTGCTGTTTATTACGCTTATTTGTTTTCGCAGCGATTCTAATGTGATAACATGATTTAAAAATTTTAGCGAACTCTTCCCTGACGTTTATTGGAGAGTCTTCGCTGTTACCGGTGTTCACGACTGACTCCGCTGTCGCAATGGATGCTAAACAAGTCAACGTTAAAATATTATTTCGCGAATATCATACAAAAAAGAAAAGTTAACGTAGACGTATGTACGCAAATGTGGAATTTGTATCAAACATAGCGATGTTTTCTATTACCAGTTTCGTTGGATTCGTATTCCCCTTTGCTCGTGCTTTCGTTAGAAGACATCTTTGCAAAGAGGCGCCCTGTTATTATCGATAAGGAGAATTTCTCACAGAAGCACAATGTGAGTCAGTGATCGAAGTGGGCAGATTTAACGTGTAGCGAGTGATTACCGCGGTCAGTGAGTCTGATTCGTACATACTTTTAGGTCTCGCTTAGATCTAAATGTAAATAATACAGCTATCCATAGACAAGGTGCTTGGGTCATTTATTCCGGCGGAAACTTATCTCATTATCGCGGAGCCACCTATGGGTAAAATAATGAATTATTCTCCTCAGGAGAATAAATTGAATATCCTTCAAGGGGCATTCGAAAAATCTGGAAACCGGTAGTAGTTACAATAATTAAATATTCCTTCTTAATTCTTTCTCAATATTTTTCATACCGAAAGTCAACCGGTAAGCAATTGACACAATATTAACTTTGTTTTCACAAAAGTTGAACACAGCATGTAACAACCCGTACAGCTTTGATAAAAATTTCACTGTTCAATCAGTCCAGTTTCATCCACTAAAGCTGTTTCGATAGTCATCATTACTTTACTCAATTATGCTCTTAACACTCCCATCATCTCTTGTTCAATGCTCACGCAGGAATCCCCCGGTACTGTCGACGCTCTCAACTGGTCCTGCTGCCACAATGGATGTTAAATCTTGTCAACGTCAAAATATTATTTCCCAGCTAATATGCAACATGCTCGTTTCAAATGTATTTCTCTTTTCCATTTACGACAGATCCGACAGACGTACGCCTATGCTCGTTTCTGCTTTATCGTTAGTAATCTTTAGGGAATATCGTGTTATCCATAATAGTAGAGTATACACCATATAAGTAAAGTGCATTGAGCGACACTGTTCAATAATGTATCTTCAAGCCTCTTCAAGTATGTATGTCGTTTCGATTACTCGATTTGGATATATCATCGCATCACACCTAGATCAAAAGGCAAGCGACATGGGCAACGATATGTACATGTGTGCGCAACCACCAACTAATATAGTTGCAATTATGAAATACTTACCTCGTAAAGGTAAAATGTTCTCAAAGGGCTATTCGCGGAAGGTCAGCCAATAACAACAGCAACAGTCTGCTTTTTGTTTTTTTTTTTTTTCAAAGAATTGTGCAAACCGATGCATATTGTGACGTGGTAGGTTGAAACGAAACAAAATACACTTATATCTCATTGTGACTCGTCGTGTCAGAATGTAATATTTAAGAAATAAATATAATTTATCATGGCAGTCCAAGGAAGTTTCTTGGGAAAGAGTAAATCTACTATATTGATATTATATCGGTTCAAAGTCATTGCACAGGAACAATAGCAGCAGTGGTCAGTAACTCATAAGATTTGTAGTTGATGTTCTTTTGCTGGTTCGAGACACAAAGCATGAAACAAAACAATAAAAGACAACATAAGTATTTTAAATTTTGTGTGAGTGTGTGTGCGTGAGAAGGTTATAGATATAATTATTATTTACACATCATATGTCTCATTATAAAATTTTTCTCTACTCATCATTTTATGCGTCGCATTCAGATATTTGATCCGAGTGATAAATCTACTTGCAATTTGTTTAATTATAATTTCTAATAAAGTTAATAGTTAAGTATCCAAAATAACCTTTTAATATCATACCTGTAATACTAATAAAGTTTGCAATGAATACTTCATTCCGACCTCTTCGTATATCTTTGGCGGATAGTGGTGTTCATCCATGTAGATAACTTTTTATTGTATGTTGCTTCAGATATACATGTTACAGATATTGCAAAAACTGTTAACCTTGCATGTTCGATAAATTCCATTGTAATTTCTTGCGGGATTTTCTGAAATTTTACATCAAAACAGGGATATCCATTGACAGATACATAATCAAACAGTTTGATTTCTTTGCCCAATAAACCATTATTTGTTTCGGACCACCATTTGTTCTCTAGAATCTGTCGAAAACAATTTTGTATTTTGTTACATATGTCAGTGCGTAAATGCCTATGAAATGACAGCAAATGACAATAATTGTTACTTACAGCTTTATCCAGAAGAGAAACATTATTCGTATAAGAGAACTGTGGACGTGTTTCCGGAAATTTTCCTGGGCAATCTTTAAAGGAATTTTTTATTATTTCATATCTTGTTAAATTTTTAGCTTGCTCTTTATATTGTCGATCGATTTTCTTTCGTTGTTGCAGCAAAGATAAATATTTTTCCAGCTTATAATTAATCTCAACTACTCCTGTTCCATCCTCGACTATAAAATTACAAAAAATATTAGCTCATCCAAGGATACTATTGATCATTAAATCAATCTGTCTATCGTTTATCATTTGGTTCTTACTTGTTAAAAGTAGGTTTTCGGAATTGCGTTTAATGTTTGTAACTACTCCGATTAGATCAATTTTACGTACTTTAATATGAGGCATATTGAAGGGATGAAAGTGCACATAACGGTCTTCCTTGTAAGGTATTAATCGATACAATTCCATAATGAGCATCGGTATGTTGAGTGTTGCGTGTAAATCTAAAACACAATTTTGTGCGATGAGCTGTATCAGAACATAATCCTTTCTGCAAATTGTACCATCTCTAAATAAATTATGCACATGTAGCTTACCTTTATCAACACTGATGTTAATACCTGGCCATTCTGTCATTGACGAGAGATGCATCTGGAAATCATCATATTCCCTTCTACTGAAGGCAACCATACTGTTTATTAATGTTTTTCCAGACATTTCATCAATCGGGTAAAGTGATGAAGATTCGACCTCTCACAAATTTAACCTCTTTTTCGGATAATTATAATAATTAATACAGGGAAAGGTGAGAGAAATTACGCTGTAATTTTGTTGTTACCCAATGTGTGAACAAATGTTGATCATCGAAGGGAACAGTAAATGATACTCAATGCGTTATATCCTTTCTCGCAACAGCTCCGATAACGAGTGTTATCGAGTCTCGACTATAAGTGACTATAAGGGCAAGAGCACAGGCTTTTGCATAACACATAATACATAATGCATAAGAGAATAAACCAATTAGTTTTCTTCATTTCCCTCCTCAGGACAGAAATGAAGAACTCTGATTGGTTGGTTCTCTTATGCGTTGTGTATTATGCGTTATGCAGAAGTCTGTGCTCTGGTCCAAAGGGCCCAAATCAGAGTTCTTCATTCTTTTCTGCCCTGAGGAGGGAAATGAAGAAAACTAATTGGTTTATTCTCTAATGCATTATGTATTATGTGTTATGCAAAAGCCTGTGTTCTTGCCCTAAGGGTCTGCAGGAGCCACACTAGAGACCTCTCGTGGAGACCCGCGAACTAGGCAAGATTATTGGTCTGTTCTTTGTAGATGCACTGTTGAACTGGTGCAATAAGTTAAAGTGAGACAAATATAGGTTTTCTGATTCTAGCTTATTGCATCAGTTCAGCAGTGCAGCTACAAAGAACAGACCATATATTAGAAATTATGACCAAAATATGGAGAAAATCACTTTACATTTGCAATCAGGATTAACGTCCGCATGGACGTTCGCAGGGACGTGCAGAGCGCTTTTTTTGGAAAAAAAGTCTAAATAAAAATCGAATAAAAATTTTGAATGAAAGTTCATCCCGCGGTGCCTATATTTCCATTTGTTACAAATTTTCAAGGACCTAAAAGCAAAATCAGGCTCTGTACGTCCCTAGATACTAATAAAAGGAAGATGCCTATGTAAGTTACATGAGCGAAAATGATGCCTGCGTGGCAAAATATCTTTTGGTGCAAATAACACGGAAAGTATACCCCAGCTGTATCATGGTGCAGTCTATATGACCTAACCTTCCTGCTCTTGCGCTCGCGCGAGCAACGTTTCAGTTTAGCGTATATATGAGCAGTGCATTAGCATTGGCGTGTGCATGTGTATGAATACTTTCCAGCCACCACTTTAAAGCATGAGATATTCTGCCTCATAGACGATGTACAACCGCCAAATTATTATAAAATATGCTTTGAATTACTTCCGAAGTCCCTATAGAGCCAGATTTTGAAATTAGGCAGTCAACAATTTATTATTAACAAATAAAGCGTCAGCAGTATCAAGCGTCGCAAAGAGTCACACGCGACACAACTTTACCAAGAGATATTGCGCCTCGTGGACGATATACATAACCGCCAAATTATTATAAAATATTCTTTGAATTATTTCCGAAGTCCCTACGGAGTCAAAAGTTTGAAATCAGGCAGTCAACAATTTATCATTAACAAATAAAGCGTCAGCTGTACCAAGAGTCGCAAAAAGTCACGCGCGATACAATTTTACTGCAAGAGATATTGTGCCTCGTGGATGATGTACATAAGCGCCAAATCGTTATAAAACATCCCTTGAACTATTCCCGAGGTCCCTACAGAGCCAGATTTTGAAATTTGGCAGTCAAAAGTTTTTCATATGTAAAAGAAGTGTCACCTTTACCAAGTGTCACATTGAGTCACGTGTTCAATACCACTGTACAAGTTCAGATATTATGCCCGTTGACGTTCTATATAACCGCCAAATTGTTGAAGCATATTCCCTGCCCTATTCCGGAGGTCGCTATAAAGGACTGGATTTTGTAATCAAGTCACCAGACATTTATAATATATAAATAAATCTGTACCAGGCATTGCAGCAAGTCACGTACTGTACAATTTTACATGGAGAGATATTTTATCTCGTTGACGTTAAATATCACTATTAAATTGTTATGCAGTGTTCCTTATATTATTTTCGAGGTCGCTAATGAGCCGGATTTTGATAATTTATATATATTGTTACGCTTCGTGCACGCTCGGGGAAATAACAAGAAGGCAATTTATAAAAGAACGGTTTAATTGAACTCGCTACGTCTTTACAACTCGGACGTCCTCTCCCGACTCTCTTTCTCTCGTTGTTAACGACAAGAATCCAGCAACAGCTGACCATGCCGCCGCTCGCTATCCGTCTTCTGTCTAATCAATATTTCAGTGCCGTAACAATATTTACATAAATACGACGAAAACATTAAAGATATTGCAATATTACAATATATACATTCTTTGTTATTTGTAACATTTCAGAACCCTTTGCTTTTTATAAATATATATTTATATATACAGGGTGAGAAAAAAGTCCCGGACCGGTAAAATATCTCGAAAACCAAGCGTTTTTCGAACAAGAAATGTTTCGAACAAAAAGTTGTATGATTTCAAGGGAGATGTGAAACAATTATATCATTTTGTTTACAAATGGCACCATTTACGAGATATTCACTGATCATTACTTTTCTTAAATGGAAACCCCAACTTTTTATTACACCGTCTTTTTCTACCAATTAATATAAACAACTTTTGTCTGAAACATTTTTTTATTTGCCTAATATTTTTTGAGATATTTGAGGAAAACTTGACAACTTTTTCAATATTTAACTTGCGATATCGCGCTAGCTATTTGTCGAAAGAAAAAGTGGTACTAGGCTTTTTGCTCTATTTAATCTCAAGAATATGTTATTACAACAGCGCCCTGACTTTTAGTAACTTACTGACTTTTGGAAATTTCAAAATCATCAAATCGATAAAAGTCAGGGCGCTGTTGTAACAATATATTCTTGAGACCAAATAGAGCAAAAAAGTCTAGTACCACTTTTTCTTTTGACAAATAGTTAGCGAGATATCGTAAGGTAAATGTTGGAAAAGTTATCAAATTTTCCTTAAATATCTCAAAATATATTAAGCAAATAAAAAAATGTTTTAGACAAAAGTTGTTTCAATTAATTGATAGAGACGGTGTAATAAAAAATTGGGATTTCCATTTAAGAAAAGTAATGATCAGTGAATATCTCGAAAATGGTGTCATTTTTAAACAAAATAATATAGTTGTTTTATCTCTCCCTTGAAATCATACAACTTTTTTTTTGTTCGAAACATTTTTTTCCAAAACGCTTGATTTTCGAGATATTTTACCGGTCCGGGACTTTTTCCTTACCCTGTATATATATTAATAGTATATAAAATGTACAAAATATTATAATTCTATTACTCTATGATATAAATATATAGGGTGTCCCATTTTAAAGGACGCGCTCAAATATCTCAGAAACACTGCATTAAATCGAAAAATGCTGTTGTTATTATGAGGTGTGGTAGGCGTGAAAGAGTACGAATAGACGAAGCTTTGTTGGAAATTATCGCTCTGGTTTTATTAGTTGGTTAAAACAAAAGAAAAGCTGAGTACTTTACCATGCATGTGGTCGCTCGAAGAGAAAACAACAGACTGACTATGCACGCGTGGAAGATCTTACATACAGTGCATACGCTGGACACGTCATCTCTTGAAGCGCGAAAAACAAATTTGCTTCAACAAATGCTTAAGACAAAAATTGTTTAGCTTGAAGGGGGACGTAGGACAGCGATAGCATTTTGTTTATAGATGGCGACACTTTCGAGATATTCACTGATTATCAATTGTCTTAAATGGAAATCCCAGTTTTTATTATGTTATCTTTTTCTACCAATTAATTTAAACAACTTTTGTCTGAAACATTTTTTTTATTTGCTTAATATATTTTGAGATATTTAAGGAAAACTTGGTAACTTTTCCAATATTTACCTTACGATATCTCACTAACTATTCGTCGAGAGAAAAAGTAATATTAGACTTTTTTACTTTATTTACTATCAAGAATATATCACTATAATAGTGCCCTAACTTTTATTAACTTATCGACCTTTGGAAATTTCAAAATTATTAAATTAATAAACGTTAGGGCACTATTATAGTAGTATATTCTTAATAGTAAATAAAGTAAAAAAGTCTAATACTATTTTTTCTTTCGACGAATAGTTAACGAGATATCGTAGGGTAAATGTTGGAAAAGTTATCAAGTTTTCCTTAAATATCTCAAAATATATTAAGCAAATAAGAAAATGTTTCAGACAAAAGTTGTTCAAATTAGTTGGTAGAAAAAGATGATATAATACAAAATTTGGATATCCATTTAAGAAAATTGATAATCAGTAAATATCTCGAAAGTGCCGCCATCTATAAACAAAATGTTATCACTGTCCTATGTTCCCCTTCAAGCTAAACAACTTTTGTCTTAGGCATTTTTCGATTTAACGCAGTGTTTCTGAGATATTTGAGTGGGTCCTTTAAAATGAGACACCCTGTATATGTGTTAATAGAAAAGGCTATCATTCGATAAATACGCAATTGGTAATAAATTTTATATAAATAATGATAAAACTGTATGTATTATAAATGTATATTATATTATGATACAATAAACATATGTCATAGATCTGTGACTGACGCTTAAGAATTATAAATATCAATGCACGTTACCCTGGAAGCACACATGATACATTTATTTGGAATAATTCTAATATAAAAAATGCCATGATTTATCTTTACAGACGATATCCACATAATAATTTCCATTTACTAGGTTAGACCATTTACTAGGTTGAGTTAACAACAATTAATTGCATGACTCTACAACATTGATATGTAAGAAAAGTTGCTGATTAAAAAAAAATATAGCATTAAACTGAAGAAAAAAATGTACTTTCTCGCAATTTTCGTAATAGCTAATAAACAATGAAATAAAAAAAAAAATGAGCAAATAAATACATGGTGGGGTGATAGTCTGAGCTGTGCACTTGGAGCTCAAAGAACATGTTTTGTGTTTTTTTTGTCGATAGATAATATTGTGCATAGACATACAACTAGTATTACGCATTGCTCGCTTGTATTCACTTACTAACTATTGCAAAAGAAAATATAACTTTCCAGTTTAGCGTCATTTGCTTTTTGTTCACGAACTTGTCGTATTTTGTGTGTTATATACATTGCATATATATACAAAAATATATAAGTATGTAAATGGTATTTTTATTATAAAATAACGTTTTTGTCAAAATATAAATTTATATACATATATGGAAACAAATAATTTATATAATTTTTATAATTTTTGTATTGTAATTTGTATTATACTCTGGGTTGTAGGAGACTCGGGATATGCTTTGAGATGATGACCCCCATAATTGATGCTGCAGAAGGTTCTTCAGAAGATTTATATAATAAAAGGCAAATGAAATGTCGTTCATTAACTGAATAGTGCAGTGGAACATTGAAAATGAGGTTTCGATGTTTACTAAAGCACAGAGTGCTGCATTATTCTCCAGCAACAGCTTCAAAAATTATAAACACATGCGCTATATTACATAATATATGCATTAAAGAAAATATACCATTACTATTAGATTATGATTGCGATGAATTAGATTTTGGCATGTATAATAATGAAGATTATATTCAACCTGAAGAAAATCATGGAAATATTGGGAGAATTGATGCTGATCTAACAGTTGGTAGAATAAAGCAAAGACAAATAATACAAAATTATTTCTCTTCAATTATATATTATATATCGATTAAAATTTATTATATCTTGCTACATTTATATATATAAGTTGCACATCATTATATATATCCACAAAAGAAAAAGAAATATATACGAGTAAAATAACAAATAAAAGTAAAGTACAAACGTACAAATAAAAACAAATAATACGATTTATTTAATGTAATAACAATACACATACAGACCTCAATATTGTCTTGTACACTAATTTGTAATAAAAGGATGGTAAGAATATACATATTTTTCTGATGTCAAATATTTTATATTTACCTTACAGTAGCAAATACAAATAAAAGTTGTTAAATATAAAATATATATTGCATTTTTTATATATCAATATCTATTGCTTTTGTTTTTTAACATTATATGTTTTATATTTAACGAATATAGGAACAAATATTAATGTGGCTATATAAGTCAGTCAATCACAAGCAAACAAATCTTAGGTATTTTGAAACAGACTAGACTAGAATTTTTAACTATACCATATACACTATACTATATGATATATATATATATATATATATATATATATATGTATCAAATATATGTCCTTTATATAAATTTTATAAATTTAATATTGAGCTTAAAAATTAACTTTATTTTAATAATAATTATAAGAAAACTTAATATTGCTGCGCAAATATTGCATTTAACGAAAACTTGTACTTAAGGACAATTGTTTAACAGACATACAACTGTTATAAATATATAACATATAAAACAAAATCTAAATATTTATAAATTATCATATTTGACGTGATATTTTAATCTCATATATTGTTCCATAATATTGGCTATTTTTTCATTTGCTTCAGCCGACCTTTTTAAATATTCTAACCTAGCCTCATAATAATTTTTTTTAAATATATGTCTTTTCATAAGCGTCATTCAATTTTGATGATACTTCAATAGTATTTTGTAATTTCTGTTTTGCATCTGTCATTCCTTTTTTCTGTATTGGAGTTGTCTTATCCTGTTTACTTTTATAACAATTAAAAGAATTTGTATTATTTAACGGATTTATAACAAGTTTTTAATTTGGTTTGTAATTTGGCAGGCTGTTGAATATTTGGATCGTTGCTATCTATATTTTATTTTCCATCAAACCACTCTTGACATTTATTATATTCCTTGTCGGTAACAGTTGTTCGCTTTTGTAAAGATAACGTGCTGTTGGAAATGCTATTCGAATCTGTACAATTAAGAATCTTTGATACTTCTTTTTCATATTCATTCAAATATTCCACTTCCATTGAATCATCCTGTAAATACATTTTATTCATTACTAATTAAATATTAATTTTATAAAAACGTAAGCATATGCATATATATACAATATTTTTAAGCTTTTTATTTTAAAATATAACAGTAAATATATTTGATATGTAAGTTACTGTAGTAATAAATATAAATAATATAGAAAATATGCAATGCTTAATGTAATCTTACATTGGAATCTTGCAATAAATTTACATTCGATTCAAATATATCAGGATGTCCATTCACACTCGGTGGACACATAATATCAAGAATTTGCTCTTCTTCCGGTATTAATACTTCTGTATTGTTTACACCACTTCCTGTTGCTGATACAGCTTGCTTCATAGCAGTATGTTTTTTCTTACTTCTTGACTAGAACTATATGCCAGCACTATAAATATTTTCCCATTAACATTGAAACGTTAAATTAAAATTTGGAAATTATTATTCAAAAATATTAAAAGAAGTAAATGTTAGTATTAGTAATAACGTAAATTAATTACATTGTATTAATATAGATATTACCTTACCTCACGTTAACCTTTTCAATTTTTGTTAGTTCCACCTACTACATTTAAAATGTCTGTTATATCATTCCATAAATTTATTGAATCTTTTAATGTAAATGAGATTGAAAATTTTCTTCTTATTAACTCTGGGTGTTTATACGTATTCTACTAAAAGATTTCTTTGCTCGTTTTGTGATATTAGCACTTCTTTTCTTTCCGCGTAAGCTATGCATCTGTAATACAAAACACTCATAAAAATTGTTTATTAGTGATAAATATTATGGGTAACAAGAAAGAGTATCTTGCTTTAAAAGTATTATAGAGAAACTTTTACTCATGTAAAATTTTACTCATGTCAAACTTTTACTCATATCTACTTTTACTCATGTCAAATTTTTCCTGTAAAAATATATGAAATATAATATCTCATGTAGCGGAGTAATATCAAATGATATTTTAATGACTTTTTAATAACGTCTCTAATTTCATTGAGGTTATTAAAACTTCATCCTGTTACTTACAATATTTCTATCTTTAGAATATATTTATATATCTATTAATGAGTATTTAAACAACCCAGACAGCACAAATCTTTAAGGAACATCTTATATGTCTAGAGGACGTAACAAGAATATCCCTGAGACGTCCCTTGGAATTTTGTTGTCTGTGTTGTTTAAAGATATATGTTGTTTATATATATAAATGAATAACATTTGTTACAAATTTATAACTTAATTTATAACCTGTATTTATAACATCACAATATACATTTGTTATTGAGAAAAAATTTCGCTACAATAAGAAAGTTACATTAAAATTTATAGTAATAAAACATTGTTCTTTTAGCTTTATTAATTCTATCCATTAATATAAAATAATAAAATATTATACCTCAAATAAATGTATAGAATGCCAAACTATAAACACTGAACACAATGTTTGTAAAAAGTATTTACATTTCCGGTGTTGCCAAATCGAATTCAGTGCAATGAGAAACGTATACGTTTCCGATTGCGAATATCACAAAATAATGTTAAAGAATACGCATTATTATTATTATTATTATTTATACGTATTTTCACTGTTCGCAACGTGCGCATACGTAACTTTGAGCACAAGTTTAAGAATAAGGGCCCTGGCTTCTTGCCAATACAACTTGGCCTCCTCTTTATTAATCCTGGCCTTCTTTATTAACAGGCTGTCCTCTTAATCGTTAATATCAGCTGATGTCCGAGTAATTATATTTGCCTTCGACTCAGTAAGTGATAACTGATGAAGTTTTATCACTTTCTACATAATAGGTGAGTGAATTAATAACAGCACTAACTTGCCACTGTGGCACATGAAATAAAACCATATCGCACATCAACATGAAATTAGCATGAAAATTATACATACAATTATACAAGAAATGTTATAAACACATGAGCTTCATAAGAATAACACATGAATAACGTCAAGAATTAATGTAATTATGCAATAATGCCTGTAGTACTAAGCAATTACTTGAAAGTAAGGTATCTTGAGTATCAGTGGTGTCACTTGTGAATAAAATATATATGTATATATAAACTGACTTTTAAATCTTATCCCAGCAAACACAATATTACATGTAACGTGCATGTTAGTTGTAATTTCCTACTCAACAATATAAATGTTATATAATACATATGTTATATAACAGTAATGTTATATAACAGTTATATTGTTGAGTAGGAAATTACAACTAACATGCACGTTACATATAATATTGTGTTTGTTGGGATGTTTCCTTTATACGAATAAATTTCAATGTGAAAGAACTTCAGCAATTAAAACGCCACAATGTTAATATAGGATTACTCAAATAATGTGACACAGATACCAAAACGATTCAATGATGGCTCTTGAATAACGTACGTATGTTAAATGAATGAAAAATTAGTGTTATGTTCGGAAATGTGCAAGCAACGACATTCAATCACGTTAGTTCACGTAATCTGTTTCGTAATATGTTTTCTACTCTATTATGAACAGCTGCAAAAAGTCAGGAATAATTAGATCTCGAATTATTCTATAATAACTTGAGTATATCTTGTAGCATCAACGTGAATGTGATACTACATGCATATTATTATAATCGTCGAGCCGGTGCTGCGTGGCGGACGGCCTGGCTCCCGTCGGTTTCTCGCAGGTGAGCGCGCGGTGTTCTCAATGTGCGGCGCCCCACGCGTAGCTACTAGTACCGACCTTGGCCGCTACGCAGCGCGCTCACCGATTCCGCTGCTCGTAGCTAAGATTCGGCCGCCCGGGTGATATAACCGAGCGCGACAGCGAGCCGTGTGCCTTCGCATGGCCCAACGCCGATTGTGGCAATCCCTGGTGGCTGCTTTGTGCGACTTGTAGCGCGCTTATCTTTTTACCGACCTGTGCTCCCTAGGCTTTCCTAGTGCAGTTTTGGCGTGTAGTATAGATTCAAACCACCGCACCCATACAACTCTGCTGAGTTTGAAGGCGGCGCCGATATATACCCTGCTGGGTTTTGAGGCTAATGGTTCGAATCTACTCTTCAGCTTTGAAGTTTTCTCTGCGTTGCCACGATTCAAGAGCAGGCTTTTTGGCAGCTTCCGTGTGGAACTGGGTGAACTCTCTCTCTCTCTCTCCAAGTGTTCGTCGAAGACACCTTGGCTATCAGGAGCGGCATGGGTCGGGCCTCCTTTAGAGCTTTGCGAGCTCCTCTCCTTTTCCTAGCATTCGTCAAGGACATTGGCAATTTCAGGAGCGATGTGATCGCTTCCTTGAACTCTGTTCTCGTTTCCAAGCATCCATGGGACCTTCCCCAGTCGTACAGGAGCGACTCGGTCGCCTTCAGCGTGACGGAGCGCTCAACGCTCTCGTTTTCTTCTCAACGAATTCTCTAGACCGCGTGGCATCTTGCTGGCCGTTGAGTCTGGAAGGGGCAGGCCTTCCGAAACGACGGAGGTCGTTTCACTTTCGCGTTCATGGACGTACTTGTTACTTGAGTGCTGCTCGGAGTGTTTCTCGGCTCGGATTTACGAACCGAGATCGCATGAGATCCGAGTCTACTACCATTACTGATATGCATATCTGCATAGCCGATCCCTATAAGCGTAGTACACTTGATAGCTGGCAATTTGACTGGCGCCATGTATAGGGAAAGTTCACACTGTGTGGGAAATTCAAATTATAGTAAAGTAAAATTTCTGTAGTTTGTACAGGAAATAATGTTTGACTGACAATTTCGTTTTCTACTTGTTGAAGAAAATAATTAAAGTAATTATACAGTAATGCTAAATCATTTGTCAGTATAAAACGTAACAATTGATTTATAGTAATTATAGTAATGCTATGGGTAAAGCAAGATCACATACTTTTTAATGCAATGTTTTATTTATTACATAGACGTATGCGTGACACATTATTAAGAGCACGATTCAGTGTGTACACACAAAAAAATTTGTCCCATGATCTGTGGTGTCTCAACAATAGAGACCAATTCTTGATTTACCAAGATATGCACAAAATTCTCCAATAATATAGTCAAAAGGCCAAGTTCGTCACTCAATAGTGCAGTTAATCCATTTCCAGCTTATGTTAATCCATCGAAATTTAAAAACAAAAAATAAGTTTATTTAAAAGTCACGTCTTGATCGTGAATGTTTGAGTTGTTTTCGCGTCAATGGATTAAACCAATTTATCCTGGGATCGACAAACTTGGGTGTGTGTGTGTGTGTGTGATGTATGGGTGTGAAAGAAAAATACGAGAAATGAGTAAATTTAACCAACAGATTTACTTACGTTCAGATTTTTTGGTTAAGTGGACTTTAGGAGCGTTGCGTACTGGTCAACGATTGATAAACAAAAAGAAGATAGGAGTCATAGTGGAGAGGAGAGGTTCAGTTATGACACTGGACGAAACTATATCTTAAAACAAACCTTCATTTACCGGCTGAATACAACTGAGGCTTGTATATGAATTCAATGGCAACTAGTGTGAATGGCAATTAGAATTTACAACGAACAATTGATGCAAAGAATTAAAAAGAATTTCGTCAGGTATGAGTTTTTGAAGTGCCCAAACATTTTCCAAGTGTCACCAAAGTGCGCAAGAAGAGTGTGTCCTATTTAAAAGCTAAAGCCGCCGGTTGTCATCCGCGTTCTTTTTATAAAGGGTATCCCAAAATTCACGCAACAAGTAATTTTGATAGAAAACACAGGTTTATAATTAAAAACTAAATTATATTGATTCATAAAGAACTAAATTTATTCATAAAGTATACAAGTATAGGGTTATGTATGAAACAGCATATCGGGTAAACGGCCACAGCGAAGAGAGTTCGTTCAATGGATTATGGAACGAGTGGATGCTGATTTTTCGAACAAAATCATCTTCAGCGATGAGGCTCATTTTCATCTTGATAGCTTGGTTAATCGACAAAATTGTCGCATTTGGGGTTCAGAAAATCCAAGAGTGATTGTTGAGAAACAAATGCATCCACAACGTGTCAGTTTGGTGCGGATTTTGGGCTGGAGGCATCATCGGACTATTCTTCGAAAATGCGGCTAATCAGGCAATAACAGTTAATGGTGCTCGCTATCGCGACATGATAAACCAGTTTTTTGTGCCTAAATTGCAAGATACGGATGTGGACGACATGTGGTTTCAATAAGACGGTGCTACATGCCAGACAGACGGTGCTACATGCCGAGAAACAATTCAATTACTGCATGAACCATTTCCTGGTCGTGTAATTTCCCGTTTTAGTGATCAGATTTGGTCGCCCAGATCATGCGATTTGACGCCGTTGGACTTTTTTCTTTGAGGCTTTTTGGAGTTTAAGGTTTATGCCAACAAGCCCACGACTACCCACGTCTTGAAGTAGGAAATTGAGCGCTGTATCAACGAAATCAACCACATTTATGCAAAACGGTCATGGAAAATTTCAACAAAAGAGTGCATATGTGCCAGCAAAACCGTGGAAGCCATTTACTTGATATGCTATTCCATACATAACTCTATACTGTATACTTTATGAATCAATAAAAAATTTACAATTTCTAATTAAAACTGTTTTCTATCAAAATTACTTGCGTGAATTTTGGGATACCCTTTATAGTGGTGAGACACTCCACGCGGGTTCTTATCACCTTAATAGTAGTAGTAGGGGAAAAACGTTTCCCACGACATAAGAGTAATAATCAATAATCAATATCGTTTGGACCATTGTCTCCTGTCATTTCATTCTTCTGTTCTTTTATCAATTTATAATCACATTTCCGAACATAATTCTTTATCGATTGAATTTGAAAAGTTACGTGGACGTAACACCTTCCCCCTTAAGTTATACGTGGTGAGTTAACAATGAAACCACGTATGAGTGTAATGAATGCAAATGATCGCCATTAATGGTAAAGAAAAAGAAAAATTATTTGGCGCACCCGCTTATTCGTTTTTTTTCTTCATGAGTTATATAAAGTAACAATTGAGATACAATCTATGTTGAGATTATATATCCAGGTAGAACACAAAATCATAAAAATATCAATGACATCATATAGAAGTCATTTTAAGAAAAATCTCATCATTATATCATTTGATATACCTTTTGTGATAGTTTTGTGGTGATTTTTTGATATTGCAATTACTTTATAATGACTTTTAACCCATGCGTTAAAAAGCAGAAAATCACGGTAATATTAAAATAACATCAAAATAATGTAACTGAATAAAAAATGAGTTTTTATAATCCCTACTATATATACCCAAGTAGAACAGATAGTCAAAATAATGTCAATCTGACGTCATTTTGACCAAAAATTTGTCATTTTTTCGTCACTTTGACGTTCGTTATTTTGACACTACTCATTTTAAATTTATTATAATCTGTTTAAAATTGATATTTATGCAGTTTATATCCATAAATATCTAAAAAAATATTTTACAGATATTGTGATAATATTCATTGGATATCTCTATAATATCTTGGTTATTTACGGGTTTTAAATATGCATACACATATATGTATATATAGTAAAACATGACAAAATATTAAAAAGACAAAATTGAATGTTATTAATTTAATTTTTATCACAAATAAAATTGCTGTGACAAAATAAAATTATTTATATTTACAATGTTATATTGCATATCACACAAGTTGCGTCATATAATTATTGTTAAAATTAAAAGGGACTACTTTTTAAGAACAACTCTTTCAAAATATAAATATAAACCTTGAACATGTAGAAAACAAAAGAAAAGAATACATATAAAACAAAACTACTATAAGAAACTATTACAAAAACTGTATTTCATAGAGAACAAAACTAAATATTAA